CGCCGGGCTCGGTAGATTTCCAAGTATGCTGGACATTGGAACAGTCCTTCGGCGGCACTCGATGACGTAGTATGCTTGAAATAGTGGCTCTGGAGCAGCTTTACTCGACATTGAGAAACACCCAGGGTCGGCTCTAGAACAAATCAAATGGGGGGGGGCAATCATTCACCACGGGGGGGGGGGGGGCACACACTGCCGTCAACAACCAACACACAAACACCAACTTCCATTTCAAAACATGCTGTAAAGTCTATTGTCTTTCACACACATTGCAGGGGTGTAGTGCTATTTTATAGCGCACCTATGACTTGTGCACACGGTTGTGGCACGACCACCAAAACATAAACATATGGACATAGAAGATTTAAAAAAATATATTATTATCAATCTGGTGCACTTTGAGAGCGAAATGAAGAGATCTATGGATAGCCTACATCTCTCAACACCCATATGAAACGGACCTGTAAACAGATGTACTTTTTCTTTACGGATATTTTACTAATCACTCTCCTTTTAAACTGTATTCTTGTTTTACTGTCCTATAGTATTTCATACCTGTTTTTCATGTATTCTCTTATTCACTAGTACTTGTAGCACTGTATCAAGGTTCAAGGTTCTTTATTGTCAATCTGACATAGCTACAGAGTAATTATGTAGTTGAAAATCTTATGTCACAGGCTTCTGCAACATAATAACATAATAACAATAAGAGCATGAGCAATACAAAAAGAATAATAGTTATAAAATAAAGTGATGATGTGGAATAGTGCAGTACGAGTCTATATACAAGTTATTGGAATGAGATATATATATATATATTAGGTATTAGATACATACTACTAAGTAGCAGATGAATGTTTGAAGTTGTTTCAACAATTCAATTTTTTAACAGTCTCACTGCCCGCGGGAAGAAACTGTATCATATTATTTTCGATGGCTTTACTGTATAATCAGTATAACAGATGAACAGATCGCCACTGGGCTTTCATCTAAACACACAGCCACGTAATGATAACAAAACAAAGGTCGGGGGTCATTGGTCAAGCAACACACCAATCAGAGAGCAGCAGTGAGCACACCTCAGGCTGTGTTTTATATTTGTATTCTTTATTTCTGATTTATTTCACACATTTTCTTTTTGTGGAAACGTTTTCACGAATATGATAAAAAAAAAAAAAAACGGCAAGGCTTGCCCGTCCTGGATTGGGGGGCACAGTGACTCGTTTGGGGGGGGGGGCATGGCCCACGAATGACCCCCCCCCATGACGCCGACCCTGCTGTGACATGTCTCCATGCTTAAATGTTCAAAAAGATATTAATTTTTGTGAACCTGTTGTGATTGGTCAACCACAATGTCCCGCCCTTTCATATCACGAAGAAGAGTGTGTTGGAGCGCTAGCCAATAGAAACGCAAATGTTGCATAGTGATGTCACTATGTTCAGGAAGTAAAAGGAGTCCAAGGGAGTCGTTTCAGGCAGGGGGGGGAATGTGTGGGAAGGACCTTTGGGATTTTAGCCTTTGCAGACTATTTTAAATACAGGAAAGGGAAAACCCCAAAAAGCATAACTTTTTAAAGAAAAATAGAAATGACAGACAGACTGCAGTTTTACCTAAACATATAAACAGTGCGATTCAGTAAAACAGTCTAAGTTCAGTGTGTTGGGACAGGTGGTCAACCTGCTGGATGCACGCTCTGAGTTGGTGCTTAACCCACAATCGGCTGTGTCACACACAGCTCTCAGTGTCGGTGGTGAGGTCGTCATGTTGGCAGGATTAGTGGCACATATGCTTTTGTCCTCTGTGTTTCTGCCAGCTCCTACAGGGCAGAGGGTCACGTGCTGAACCAAAGAGGTCTAACCAGGGTATACATGTACTGTACCACATGCTGTTTGAATGATAGACTTTGTATGTTCTCTCCCAGTCTCTGCATGGGTTTCTTTATGTTGCTCAGGTTTCCTCACACAGTCTGAAGTCATGCAGGTTAGGTGCATTAGAAACTCTAAATGAGCTGTGAATGTGTTGTGTTTTTTGCAGAATAAGGCTGTATGATTTGGAAGAATTAACTAAACACAAGTACTTTTTAAAACAAATGAATTTTTTTTTTTTTTTATCTGTACCAAATAATTATGTTTTGTAAAGTCTGCAAGATATGATTTGTAGGACCGGTATCCAAGCCCCCAGGATGTGCGCCGGACTCTGATGAAAATATTCGTCGTGTCCAAATGGCGGTACTACAATTTCCGTATCAGTCCATGACGTCACTGGGCCCAGAAATACTTTTCCCCATTGACTAACATGGGGAAAGAGACGTCTGTAAATCAGCGGATAATAAAAAAAAAAAAAACGAAATAAACTACCCAGTATGAACTATTTTATAACCCTTATTATAATCATTCGGTCCTTAAAGTTGTAAAATGCACTACAAGCCGAATCTAGATTTCTTTTCTCTCTCCATTCATTCTACTGAGCCGAGAGTGGGAGCTCAGGGGGCGGGGCTTAAGGGGCGTATGCTCTGTGAGCGCACATACAGGTTTTTCTGCTCTGACAGCCAGGCATGATGGGTAATCTGTGACGTTTCGCTCTCTCAAAAGTTGGGCCATTTTGTCCTCATGCGCCAATGAGCAGCTCTCATTGGAAAGAACGAGACCCCGCCTCCCACGCTGTATCCAGTTCTTATTATACATCCATGCCGGTATCCCTGTAGCTTCACAATACTCTATTTCAAATGTTATCTTTAGCCTTCTTATATACCTTCACATTTTCTTTTAAACATTATTTTGCAAACCCAGTATCATGACAAAATGACACATGTTAAAGAAACCGTTGCTAGCAGAAAAGAGGCTTATATATATATATATATATGTATTACTAAAATGTCCCCTGTGGCACGAATAAAGGTGATTCTGAACTGCCTAAATGGCACTTCTCATTAGTTTAAATAAACCCAGATTTGCTCTTTTTCATTTTACTATCTAGATATAATTATGCAACCTTACAGACATGTAACCTCTCCAAGCGATTTCATTTTCCCATTAGGTTTGACATAGGTTAATGTATAGGATTATAACATAATGGTCTTCCAAAGTAATTGTAACCGGAAATAACAAATACGGTTTTAAAGAACATGGGCGGCGAAAGTGATGCATTTGAATCCACAGCGAGATATTCCCCACAACCCGATGAGTCATCATGGCTCCCTGTCGTCCACCTTCTGCTTTTTTCCAAGGAAGTGAAAAAATCCTGTGTTTATGATATTATTGCTCAGATATGATGTCATTACATTTTCCCTAAAGCACAAAACCACATTTTTAAGGAATTTTATTTTTATAATTTAGAGCCATAAACAGACCATTAGATATTACACAATTATTATAACCTAACAGCAAGTCAAGTGTATATAGTTAGGTGGATGGGTACGATGTAGCTGAGGAAATTACACATTTAAAGTATATTAAGTCAATTAAACACTCACACCATTAGTCAACAGATTAAAGGTAGGGTAGGTAAGAATGGAGAAACCAGCTCGAGTGCGCTAGAATTTGAAAGTACGCAGCCGAAAAAAATCTGCCCCTTCCTTCAGACTTCCTTACAGAGCCCCTCCTCCAACACACACGAACGCGCACATGACCAATGAGGGCACGAGATAAGTTTGTGCACGAGATGGAAGGCTGACAGGCAGGTAGGCCATCCAGTTATTTTAGCCGGGCCGGCTCAAATGATTGGTCGTGCTTTTTACAGTACTACGGCTTCCACAGATGACATTTTTGTATGTATTTATTGTCAAAGCATATATTCATTGCTATCGGGATGTTAAGAGCATTACAATACATTACATGTCATTTGTTAGACGCTTTTATCCAAAGCAACTTACATAGATTCAATACTGTGGACAATCCCCACAGGAGCAATTTGGGGTGAAGTGTCTTGCCCAGGGACACAACGACATGCTGACTGCAGTGGGACTGGAACTTGCTATCCCCTGATTCGAAAGTCCAGCACACTACCCACTGAGCCACAGCCTCCCACAGCATTCCATTGAATATAACAAAAAGTGTTTCTGAAGTGAATGACCTCCCCCGCCTTTAATTTCTATTGCAGGTGACATAATACATTTCTGAAAACTAAACAAGATTTTTGTCACAAATTCACAATAATATAGAGATTCTAACTTTGCAGTTTTTATACACTTTTTTAAAAAGGAGTTTTAAGTCGCTTTCAGAAGTCAAACTCTGGTTCAGTGCATTGTCTGGTGTGGTTTGTTTGGACAGTTGTGAATGCAGTAATTACAATCTGGTGTTTGCATGGGGTTAGACCGTTTGTGAGTTTTTCTCGCACCATTTCTACGTCGGTTCAACTGCAGTGAGAACGTAAGCCCACCAAATAGCAGTGAACCAATGACCATGCAGTATAATTTGGGCTGATGGACACAGGTAAATGACAGGTTAACAAGAGTGGGAAAGGACTGAGTTGGACTAAAGCAGACATTTGATGTTTGCTATACATCTGATCCGAAGAGAACAGAATAGCATTATTTGTAAGGAACACCTGACACACTGACGGTATCACCGAACATCTCTGTGGCGCGTTTTACTTCATGTTGCTTGGTTAATGTTTTCTCCACTTCCATGGCTACATTTTCCCAAATGTCTGACCAGTAAGAATGACTTCTACCACTACTGTTTAACCTCTGCTCCTTTGTAAAAGCATTACCCTGAGCAAATTACATTTTTTACATGGTCTACATATTTGATTTGTGTACTGTGAAACCAAACCAGACTAGAAATTAAAAACCCTAAATGATAATTTTCGCTCTTGTTTGGATTAACCAAATCATTACCTAAGCCTTCACGATGAGCCATTTCTTGAATCCGGCTGTTGCCACTAATCTGTTTATCACACATTGAACCACCCACTACACACATTCTCACACCCTTTTTTTTTTAAACCAAAAGATGCATCATTATTGTGTCCTAAATGAATCCTCTGTCTTTATTCACAGCCCCTTCTATGGAGAGGACTTCTACTTTGAGATCCCTCGTCCATTTCAGTGTTTATCCTTCTACGTTTATGCCAAGAGCGTTTTCCAAAGGGACCTACCTGTTGGTGAGTTTCTTTAAGCACGACACTGACACAAACATGTTTTCCTATTCAAGTTAGAACTCTGTAGTTGAATGTGTGTGTGTTTGTCTTTACAGGCAAGGTGTCAATCAGGAAGGATGAGCTGGCCAAATACAGTGGAAAAGAGCATTGGTGCAGCCTTCATCCAGTAGATCCCAACTCAGAAGTCCAGGTAACTTCCGCAAAAGTTTAATGTTTTAAATAAAGATTCACAAATATAATTTAAAGATTTCGCACTCCAACACAACAAAGTGGAAATTGGATTGCATGTAACCCAGCGTTTACGCCAGGGGGGCGTCTTGCCGTCATTTGACGACCTTATTCAGCTCAGAACGCCCTGAACTCGAGCCGAGGGCGTCCAAAAAAATAAAAAAATGTTACCGCTTGAAATGACGAAAAGGAAAAAGGACCAGGGGCCTCATTTATAACGCCTTGCGTAGGATTGACGTAGGAAGGTTGCTTACGTAGTACAAAGCACAAAAATAGGTACATAGATTTTCCGCCATTTTCCGATTCACAAAACATTGCGTACCGGCGAGGGAAGTTTCCCTTGATAAATCACAATCAACTCGTAACGCCCATATTTGCCTATACATAGTCAAAGAAACGCCCATTCATTCATTCATTTTGACTGACTGCATGAAGAAGATCGCAGGAAATTACGATAGAACAGCTAAAAAAGACATCTCACACCGTGTCAGATTTTGGTTATTGTGGGGAGGTCGAGATAAATCATATTGTTTGGTGGATGCAGTTTGAACCAGAGTAGCAGCATGGAGGTCGGATCGTCACCAAAATAAATAAATAAGTGGTCCGAAAAAAGTTAATGACAAAAAAATACACATAACCTTCCTCAGGCAGTGTGTTTGTCCCGGGGACAGGAGACACCCGCTTGATGAGAAACTGTAAGAAATGATCGGGGAATCCCTCCGGAGTGGAGTCATGACGACTGGATCTGAATTATTTTGTTGTATTTGGTGGTTTGTGTTCCAGCTGTCGATCAGCAACTATATATCCATAATCCACCAGTTAAAGGAAATACAACTAATGTGTTGTGTTATATTAGCTGTACAATTTACCACATATGGTGTTCTTAGTTTCCATACCTCCTGTGTTTTACGAGCGACTTATCAAGTCTTGGCAAACGGCATAAAACATGATTAAACGTGATAGTATATAAAACCATGCTCGTATCTACAACCTATAGAAATGCAAAACGGCGTCAGTTTAGACGTTATTCTGTTCTCCTGCTTACCGCATAATTTATGAGAAAACATTTCATAACATTAACACAACATATTCGAGGTGGTTTTAAATAGCATATCCGTATTTATTTATTTCTCCAAGTTATGTTTTTGTGTGCACTGAGGAGTCTCAAACAGGCGTTTGTTTAATCATTTAAAGATTGGCTTTAATCAATGTTTGAAAATGAATTCTTCATATTTGATAAATGAGAGGTAACATTTTATTTATGGTATTATTTCCACATATTTCTCTCCATTCTTCCTTCTGCCAACGGTGTTGCAGTTTCTCGTCTCTCCCGTTTGTGTGCTTAGTGCGTACGCATGGGTTAGAGTTTGCGTGGAGGACAGCACATTTTCCCGTCAAGTTAGTATTTTATAAATCGCAAACATTGCGTAGAAACTGGCGTACGCCATTTTTTGAGCGTATATCCCTTTATAAATGAGGCCCCAGGACATCCCTCTGTTGGAGAGGCAAAGGAGTCTGGTGGGATTATTTTCGCCGCCAGCAAAGCGTGTTCCTGTGACGGAAAGTGTACTGCCGGCGAGCCTTGACGGGGGGTGCTAGTGGAGCACGCGCGTGAACTGCGAGCGCCGGAGCCTCACAGCGGCGAAACTGAGGCTCCGTGGTAAACTGTGGTAACATGAAGAGCCGCTTAGAAGCCGAAAGAGCCGGCTCTTTTTAGTGAGCCGAGCCAAATGATCCAGCTCACTAAAAAGAGCCGGAATTCCCATCACTAATACGTAAAGAGATAGTATCTATAAAAGGACGGCTCAATTCAAAATTCAAGTCACGTGACACAACGTGACGTCACACCTCCCGCTCTCGGGGTGGGCGCCCTCTCAGCCCTGGTCTGGCGGAAACACTGATGTAACCTAAAACGTGCAAACTGATTAGATTGTTTCATGTCAAATAAGGCGCATTAGTCATGTTTCAACAGCGCTCCAACACATTGTACCTGATAGGCTAAGGGGCGGGACATGGCTAAGCGTTTGACCAATCACAACAGAGCCGGTCAGCTAACCGATCCGAGCAGACTGGGCTCTGGTTTCAGACAGAGGGTGAAAAGACACACAGGCAGTATGAGAAAAATAAAGAGCTTTTTGAACATTAAAGCATGGAGACATGTCAGAGTAGAGACACTAAATACAAATGTGAACCTGAGAATGAGCAGAATACGGCCCCGTTTAAACTGTGCATACTGCCTAAATCAAGGCTAATATAATTGTATACAGGTTTTCTATGATTATTGGTTCTTAATAGTCGTTGGAGTTGGTAGCACCTACCTAAAGTACTAATGCTTATGATTCTATAGCTATAATCTTGACATATCGGGTGTTTTATTTTGGGCCAATGTCTGCAGTGTCGAAACCTTCATCTGCCTTTCAGCGTTTTCTTGACCTTTTTTTTCAGGGTGCAGTTTCTAGTTTCTATCACATATAGGGCATGTGGGTTGCCCTATTTCAACTGTACATGTCTTTTTATCAGATATCTTTTGCGGTGTGGTTGCGCTGGGTGAAACTACAGCTCACTACCACTTCTGTGCTGCTGCAAGCTAACGTGTTGACTCGAGCTGCCATTAGCCCACGCCAGACTATTCTGGGTTTGTGCTGCTACACTGATTCACTCACAAGTAGACACTCTAAACTGCAAAGTCAGTGAGAGAGGGAGGAATTATTGCAATACCTCTCTGGCTTTTAGTCAAACGGCTGTTATGTGAGCAGCTTTGTTCCAATGGAGGTAATGAAGACAAAGGTACAATGGCTTTTTGAAAAGGGAGGATACTAACGTGTTATGTAGGTGTTATTTTCCTGATGTCATTGGCTCATTTAGATCCTTCAAAGTAAATATAATATTAGCTTAAAGGCCTATCTTGCATCAGAGAGAGCTGCCTGCCTTCTCAGCCAAGTGCTGATTTGCAGAGACAAGAGTGCAAGTGTGTGGGCGTTTTGTTTAGCTATGTCTCTCTCTATATCTCCCTCACTCACTCTCTCTCTCTCTCCGACACTTCCGAAGGCGAGACCGGCAGCCTTCACCACATCCGACCCCGTAAAGATCTTTTATGACTGATGACAAAATGTGCAGCTGCTGTGGCTCTTGTCACACACTTGTACCAACATTAACCTAAAACAACATGAGGCTGAGACCGGACACATGAGAGTAAAAAGACCCAGAGAAATGTTTAAGACAAAATGCAATTACTACATTTTAATTATTTTTAATTGATTATTGATGCATTCATGTGTTCACCACAGCTGGACAATGTGGATTTGAATTACTTGATGCTGGACATTTGAACTTATATGTCAATGGTTTTTTACAAGTTGATATTTTGTATTACTTAAAATCTGAATCTGGCGTAAAGAGTACAAAATGTATCTGAAAAAATAGTGGTATTGAAGTATAAAGTAGCATAAATCTACAAAACCTAGTTAAACTCAAATTGTTCTTAAGTGTAATTCCATACCACCACTGCACATGTTTCTATCTCATGTCACATCCCTTATATTAACCTGGGTTTTGATTTGAAACCTTTTGTGTCGTAGTTTAAAACACAGATGTGATGTTTTGAGTAACCGCTCCCTCTCTGCTCCTACAGGGAAAGGTTCACTTGGAGATGCGGCTGAATGAAGTGATCACAGAGAACGGATCAGTGGGTCAACACTTAGTGGTCCGGTGAGTACCATCACATCAGACTTCATTTAGCTGCACTTACAAAAGCCAAGAGTACCTCGTCTGAGAAGCCATGTCTGATCTTGTCTTATAAACTGGGAATGGTTGCTATTTCTATATTTTATGCAAATGTATTAAGTATCGCATATTAAAGGTGGGGTAGGTAATTCACTTCAGAAACACTTTTTGTTATATTCCATGGAATGCTCTTAACGTCCCGATAGCAATGAATATATTAAATGCTTTGACAATAAATACATAAAAAAAATGTCATCTGTGGAAGCCGTGGCGCTGTAAAAAGCACGACCAATCATCTGAGCCGGCCCGGCTAAAATAACTGGATGGCCTACCTTTCGGCTGCGTACTTTCCAATTCTAGCGCACTCGAGCTGGTTTTTCCATTCTTACTTACCCTACCTTTTAAATGCTGTATTGTAAACAAGTTGACTTTTTTTTTTACATTACATGTAATTTGTTAGACGCTTTTATCCAAAGCGACTTGCATACATTCAGTACTGTGGGCAATCCCCACAGGAGCAATTTGGGGTGAAGTGTCTTGCCCAGGGACACAACGACATGCTGACTGCAGTGGGACTCGAACTTGCTACCCCCTGATTCGAAGTCCAGCACACTACCCACTAGGGATGGGAATTTGAAAGCAAATGTATATTCGAATATTCGACCCCCAAAAAAACGGTTAACCGAAATGTACATATCCTATATTTTTTTTTTAAAGAAATGTGGGAAAAATTGACAAAAAAAAAAAGTATTCAAATAAGTATAGAAACCAAGTCGAATTTGTCAAATGTATTGAACTGGTGATTGGAACAGTTGACAGCTATAGGCCTACAGCTTTCATGCTTAAAACATAACTTGTTTTTTAAATGAAAGAGGGATCATACACGAACAACATAACGGGTTAGGGTAACGTAACCCTATCACAACAGAGATCAACAACCTGTAACAGGGCCTATGCACAGAATGCAGCTATTCAATACTCATTCTTGTTTAAGAATATGAGCATGTCTACTCAGGGGAGAGGCGGGAGCGGAGGCGATTCACAATCAGGCCAGCTGTAGAGAAGACCCTCTCAGCTGGAATTTGGGCATAAGATGAGGTTTGAGTCTGCGTGATCTGCGTGTAGGAAGGGGCAGCAGCCATATCATTAGCTAGAACTAGCTAGATCTGATGGATTTGGACATAAACGCGAGTGAAGTATAACCGGACGCGAGAGAGAGAGATCAGCACCTGCAGCTGTGAGGGACTGGTGAGCGGAGCAAAACACACCTTTAGACCTAACACACTTAGCTATGGCACTGTCGTATACATTGAATTATTCCATTTGATCACGTGTAATCAACTTAGGCACCCCTCCCAAAAAATGAATACAAATATTCATAACTCATAATCTCATATTCAAATACCTGAATAATTTCGAATATTCGATTAATCGTTCCCATCCCTACTATCTACTGAGCCACAGCCTCCCAGAAACGTTTGCGGTGTTTTTTTTGCATTGTCCAAAATAGGTTTGTTTACTTACTAACTGGGACCCTGAAAAGCCAAATACATTTTCATTTAACTTGCATGACATCTTCCCAAATATTAAAATTTCTAATTCTTCCTTAAAATAAAAAAACATACGAATGCAAAATAATGCAGGATCATTTTAAGGTTTCTCCAAATAGTTTCTCTTAGTAGTTTTGGTTTGATGGGGAAACACAACATGTCATTGTCCTAATCAGACACTGTCCTAAGGGGAGTTTTCGTACGCACTATTATAGAAATAAACAACATGTGTATTGTATCTTTTGTTCAGATTCAACAACAACTATGGCTAGTCAAAAACACAAAAACCACGTCCTCTGAACTACATGACCTACAGCCACTGAGAACATTCATATTTGCATACGTATCCTTATGGATAATAGGCACACGTTTTAAAAATATGTAACCTCAAAATTGTGAAAAAAAAACGATAGTTCTGACTGGCGGATGAGAATGAAACCAAAAACGATGTGTTCGAGTACTTCATTGATAAAATCGAATTATTCATCTGAACTTTCCGTGGGATGTTTGTGTCCCATTACTTTATCTATTTCTGCCCAGCGTTTGACTTGACTGAAAAGTCGTCACTGTTGCCACTAATGACACAGGAGGTTGGTCTGCTCAAGAGAAAAACACTCATTAAAGGATGTGCTTGAGCATGTATACACACACATTTACATACAAGTATATGTGCGTACGTGTGAGACCTCATGCTGTTTACGTCGGTTGTTTTGCATCCCCCATTCATACTTGGAGAGCGGGTTAATGAGTAGGAAGTGATGGCATCTGAACAGGAAGTCTCGCCTCTCACTCTGCAACCGCTGCGGTTTTCTGCTGCCGTCATTCACTGCGCCTCTCAGATTGTTTGCTTAACCTGTCGCCTGCTCGCTTATCACTTGCACACTTCCAGCCATCCTGTTTCAGCCAGATTAGTCACCAGAGATGTCCAGAGCACTCGGGGAGATGGGGTTAAGTTAAGGGATGCAAAGGACACTGTGGGGAATATTGTCATGGCGCCCTGGAAGGTGATACACAAACATCCTGATCCTGACTATCTCCCTCCGGCTTCACTTAGTGACGGCTGTATTCATCCTCACTCTCGGGTGACTCGGGCTTAGCAGCCACATCCTGTTTAGGGTGCCGACAGTGTCTGTTTGTTGTCACCTGAAACACCTGTGAACAAAGCAGTGGTCCCTGTGTGTCAAGAGCCAAACATGAGAGCACAGCACTATGCCTCTCAATGAAGACCGACAACAACTCTGCTGTTTTTATATTGTTGTCAAAATGTCTGTTTGGGAATTAGAGAGGACGTATTCTGCTCATTTTCAGGTTCACATTTGTATGTTCTGCCTCTGACATGTCTCCATGCTTTAATGTTCAAAAAGCTCTTTATTTTTCTCATACTGCCTGTGCTGCAGCACCTCTTTTCACCCTCTGTCTGAAACCAGAGCCCAGTCTGCTCTGATTGGTTAGCTGGCCGTCTCTGTTGTGATCTTAGAGATTTCCCGCCCCTTACGTTATCACGTACAATGCGTTGGAGCGCTAGCCAATATAAGCGCGAGTGTTACATAGTGATGTCACTAGTGTGTGGGAGAGAAACTTCCTCTGGATGGAACACAGGGATTTGATCCTGTGTGTTGATGCCCACAGCATTTATTACCGATTAATTAAATGTTCAGTAGTCGTATGTTTAGTACCTGAGTGCACCGTCATAAATGTCAAATACGTTTTTTCTTGTTTTCAAACCTACATTGGTTCTAAATAAATATACTCCATGCTGATAAAATTCAGTCTGCAGAGGGTTAACAGCAATAGCATTTCTGCTTTGCTGTCTGTTGAACCAACAAGAAAGCGTATTTACCATTCATGCTTTAAAGACTTGGTGTGGACTGGATTTAAGAAAACTAATCTCTCCCAAGGTCTGGGTCATTTTAAACTGCTTGAAATGTTGACTGTTTCATTATTACATGACTTTTTTAAATGAGTGATTTGACCACCACCCTGCTATAATAAACAATATGACTGATTTTTAATTCAACTGGTAATTATGCTGTAATTTTAAAACCGTGCACAGTATTTGTATTAACTGTGTCCCTCACTGTTTCCTGCAGGATAATCGAGTGCCAGGGTTTGCCTCTGATCAGCGGGCAGAACTGTGACCCGTACGCCACCGTGTCACTCGTTGGACCTGCCAGGTAACTCATTAAATACCACACGTATAGCAATGGTTTTTTTGTACCTATGTATTGCTCATCTCTGCATGTTATAAAGTATATTAGCAGCACGTGTGCCTCTTCAATATGTCAAATTACCCACCAGATATTTGGTTTCCTGTTTCTTAGGTCAAACCGATGTGGTATAAATCAAAGCAGGAAACCTCCATTTTTGAGAGGCTGAAAACGGCATTTTCTGCTTTTTTGTTTGTTGCATAAATCACTTTAAAGATTGTCATGATTTTATTGTGTAAGTCTAAATAATTTGTAGGGATGTAACGATATATCGAATATCGCGATAAATAAATGTCTCGATACCGTCGTGAGACTGACAAAATCTACCGCGTTTTTTTTTTTTTTTTTACCTGTCCAACATGGCAGCAAGTAGGTTACAACATGAACATAAAACAACAGATAACACAAAAGGACATCGTATATACAGGGCTACATTTACATACCTAGAGACATGGACAAAGCATATCTCTCTGTCCCAGCAACATCAGTACCAAGCAAGAGAGTTTTTTCCACAGCAGGGGATATTGTAAACGCCCAAACATCCCAGCTTCTACCTGGAAATGTGGACGTGCTCATATTCCTAAAAGATAACCTGTCTGATGATGTGAGTGAGTGGGTGTTTCTCAATGTCGAGGAAGGCTGCTCCAGAGCCACTATTTCAAGCATACTACGTCATCGAGTCCCGCCGAAGGACTGTTCCAATGTCCAGCATACTTGGACTTCGTAGCGAGAAATTTCGAGGCTGCACATGTGTAGACTCCGCGGTCTTAAAATCCCCACAATGCTTTGCGCACTGACCAATTTCCCCAAATCTGTGGCGGAAAATGTAAGGCGGGGCCTCTCATATGACGCACACCTGCACACTTGCTCGCCTGTTCCACTCTTTGTTTTCCGAATGCTAGGAAGTATTCTTGCCTCGCTTCTGAAGCAAGTGACTCGGAAGACATGTGCTACCAAGCAAGCGTACTCGACATTGAGAAACACCCTTTGAGTTGAGTTACTTGAAAAACTAAAGTGAAACTTGATTTATTTTATTGCAGGGTCTGATTATTATATTTTTGACACTTCAAAATACTACTGTCCTACTAAAATGCTGTACAAATCAGATTTATTATTTAATAAAGAACATTTTTTTCATGTAAAAAATACATTTTCTTTCAATATCGCAATAAATCTCGGGACTATTTGCTATTTCTATATTTTATGCACATTTTAAAGTATCACTTATTAAATGCTGTATTGCAAGTTGACATAACTTTCTCAATTTGGCCTAAAACGTTTTTAAGCTCACTTGAGGTGTTTTTTCGCCTTGTCCAAAATAAGTTTGTATAGTAACTGGGACCCTGAAAAGCCAATTGAGTTCTGACGTAGCGAATTAATAAAAAAGAAAATTCTTCAATATCACGATAAATATAGTACCGTGGACTTGTTATCGCGATATTATCGTACCGTGAATTTTTGGTATCGTTACATCCCTAATAATTAGTCAACTGATTGTTGCAGCTCTACTTCAATGTTAAAGCAGCAATATTCAATATCGTTTTTATAATAAAATACATATCAAATGACAATGTGATAATGACGTTAATGTGTTTGTTCATGGTCTTTCAATGGCTATGATCTTGATTAACAGTATTTTAAAAAGCGATTGTAAGCACATATACATAAATATAGTTTAGACAAAGATCAGCAGGACATGTTATTGTTTAAAATGTGAGTTTTTAAGAGTTTCCATAATGCTTCTCCTCAGATCGGACCAAAAGAAAACCAAGGTAAAGAAGAAAACCAGCAACCCTCATTTTGAAGAGACGTTTTTCTTTGAGGTAAATTCCACTTTGCTTTCTTCAACACTATTTGTATAATAACTCCTGTATTCTGTAAGTAAACCCTCACATGTCGTCCCCCCCCCTCAGGTCACACGGACCAGCAGCTACTCTAAAAAGTCTCATTTCCAAGTGGAGGAGGAAGACATAGAAAAACTGGAGATCAAGTACGTTTGTCCTTCACTCTCATCTGGTCGTTTTACCCTCTGTGACCCTCCCTCTTTCTGTCTCATTTCCCCTCTGTAGTCCTGACCGAAGAACAAATATGTCTTAACAACTTGAGGACAAAAAGGTGGATTTTAGATGTGGTGTGTTCTGACTACTGATAGAGAGCCTTGCTTTCTGGTTAAGGATATGTGGGGCGTCCGTGACAGTGGACTCATAGCTCACTGGGTAAGACTAGACAGACTGGAAGGTAAACTCATGCATGGTTTTAAAGGTTTGGATTTGAGGTGGTGTCAATGCACGGGTTATTGTTTTAGCTTTTATGCAACGAGCAGGTAAGCATCACTCCTGTAGTGACATTTATGTTTGCCATTTAGTTTGGAAATGGGTGGTTATGTGTTTGTGCTGAACACACACACGGTAACAATACATGAGTTTTACTGAATGCACTATATTTCACATGCTTTGAACATTATTTGTATAACTGTCCTTTCTCTACCTGTGCAGAGTGGATTTGTGGAACAATGAGAATCTAGCTCAGGATGTGTTTCTGGGGGAGACGCGGGTCCACGTGAAGATCCTGAGAAGCGACCACATCCACAAAGCCTGGTAAGGACTCGACCTGCGGCTCTTCAGCCCCTCTGCAGTGACTCCTTTCAGCTTTGATCACTCATTACGTAGAAAATAAATAACGACGATTTTCATTTATTTTCTGTTGCACAGTTAACACTCTTTCTAATGTATCACCTCTTATACAGGGTGTCCGCGGGGTCTTAAAAAGTATTAAAAGTTGATAAATCAATTTAGCGAAAATGAAGGCTATTAAAAAGTATTAAACGGCATTTCCAAGGTATTACATTTTGTAGCTTGTTTTCAATAAGTATATAAATTGTCCAAAGAGGTTGTATTCTACAGTCTGCCTGAATGTAATCATTGCGTAGGGTGTGTAGTGTGATTCTGTGTAGTTTATTTATGGCATCCCGTTGGATTTGACGTCATCTGAACAGGACATCGCACGCTCACTGCTTGATAGCGCGCGAAGGTCCGTTTACGCCGGTTGTTAAACAACATCGTTATGGGGAAATGAAAGTCTGCGTCCAAATGGTTGGAAGATAAGGAGGAAGGACAATCAATACTGTATATAGTAAATGTGAGGTAAAGTGTGTCGCCAATGTAACCGGTTAAAACTCGAAGTAGCGATGAGGTCTTAAAATGTATGGAAAGGGTCTTAAAAAAGGTCTTAAAAGGTCTTACATTTGACTTCAGGATTCCTGCATATACCCTGTCTTTCTAATGTATCACCTCTTATAGTTTGAGGTGACACTGACATAAATAAAAACTGTTTTAAAGGTGGGGTAGGTAAGTTTGAGAAACCGGCTCGAGATACACTTTTTGTTATATTCCATGGAATGCTCTTAACATCCCGATAGCAATGAATATCTTAAGTGCTTTGACAAAAAATCCAAACTAAACTTACTGTATCATGCATAAACCCGAAAAAATATCGATATTTCTGAACTGAGCAAACACATTTTTAAGAAGTTGATCAAGTCTTTAAACTCAGGCGTTAAAAACTTGAGAATACACAAACGAACACTCTGCGCCATTGCTCTTAACTTATACAAATATATATATTTCTACTTTAATCGTTTTTCCTCCTGTCCCACAATTTACACAACAACTTGCACACTTGTTTGGGCAAGGCACGTTTTTTTTCATAGCACATTTCATTAACATAAAGGTAATTCAAAGTGTATTACAAAAACATTAAAAGCATTAAACAAAGGAAACATTTTAATACATTTAAAAACACTCATTGGTAAGCATATTAGTCATTCTGGGTAACTTGCTCACCTGATTGCACTCGTGGGTTACATGAAGTTGAGTTACTGTCATCAATTTCTTTTAGGAATAGGCTATTTATCTATGCTAATAATGTGTTGGATTCATGGTACTGTAATGTGTATTACATTTGTATTAAATGTATTTAAATAAATTAAAAAGACATTGGTTAAACTGCCAGTCTGCCACACACACTGCAAAGTCTGTTGGCTTCATGCAGTCAAATGCCCTGAAGGCTTTTTGTACTGCCATAGCTGAGAATGAATAGGCCATTCCTAGATCTCCAGGCAAGATAAAAGAATAACTTTGCAACATTTTCATACACCGACAGATATTTGGTTGTCTGCGGGGTTTGAAAAAAAAGACTTCTTTGGACAAACAGTGGTAGCCTTTCTCTTTGGTAATGGACTGTGGAAACACCAGAGACAATAATAATGTTATCAAGTCCAGGAAGTCCGGTGTGCTAATTCATAAATGTATTAACTTGTTGGCAATAAACCTCATAGCCTGGTCATAACTACATCGGGTCTTACACTCACTTTCTAGTCTTTATGTGAAGGAAACACACCCTGCTTAAACACTAGGACAACTTTAACCGTTACGTTTTCCCCTGCTTTTACTCGATGGTTTGAAAAATCTTCCCGTGTTCAGCAGTTTTTCATTTTGTGTGGGTGTTTTCCTAGCTGTGCGTCAGTGTAGGTGATGTGGGATTATGCCAGATAGCAATCTGTTAGTACATGAGGGCTGTGAGTGGAGTGTGTGGGCGGCTCATTGCGTGGTGGCAGTACCTCCTGTCCTGTGTTTATGCTGGAAATGGTCCATGGTGCACACATTGAGGCGGTTCAGCTTCATGAAATCAGGACAGGTGATCTGTTTACTTCTTCTGGGGAGCGTCTCTGCGCCTGTTTACCTTGATGACAGATCAAGCGGCTTATAGACGGGTCTACTGTATGTCGCTGCAGCTTTTAAAGCACTGCTGTCTAACTCTGCACTAAATCATTGTGTATCTTGCTCCACCTGTTGGCTTTAGGGAGGGCATGCATGCAGCAGAAATATGAGCAAAGTATTTAACATGTTCTTTTTAGTATTAAAGTAGAAGTAAACCAGTGCATGCATGTGGATAAACGGCTGGAAGATAGTTGCAAAAATGGCAAAGACTGCTGTCTGATTCACATTAGCATTAAGTCAGTTTGAGCCTCACAGTGAAAATCCTTCTCTGGGCATTAATGTAGCCCTAGTAGTCTGTTCAATTATATATTAGACAATCATTTAGTTAAACTAAAGTCGTTCAGGAATCTTCAGTTTTGTTTTATGCGTTTACATGTTTTTTTTTTGGAGGGGAAATGTGCCAAATTTTGATCTGTAAAAACTTGTTTTCCAATTGTTTCTCTCAGTTATTGACTTTGATGAGATGCTAATGTATCTTTTGTATTCAACGACCACCGCCCTGTAGTTTTCTTTTAATGCAGAAATGTATTAGTTTGCACAACCTATCCTGAATTTGGACAAGGTGTGAGGTATAACAAATTATATTAATGATACACGTTTTCAGCAGCATCCAACGTCTCCTTTCTGAACATTAACTTCGATTTTTGGTTTTACCGATGTATCATTTTATGTAGGTATATCTTACGTTCTGTATTTATTTGATTGGCTTTATTTTATAATCAAGCTCCATTTCTAAGGATGTGTATAATCGGGACATGGAAACGTATTTGTTGTTCCCGTACATCCTCACAGCACGTTCTGTGTTCCTGTGGTTTTGAACAGGTATCTCCTCCAGCCCAAAGGGAACGGCAGCAAGTCAAAGTCCGATGATCTGGGATCTTTGCGTCTGAAGCTGACCTACATCGAAGACACGGTGCTGCCATCTGCCTTCTACACACCGCTCTGCAACCTGCTGCTCAAATCCCCCGACGTGAAGGTAGGAGCTCAAGTTACACCGGAGAGAAAAACCCCTGAAAGAACAAACTCAAGTGTATATTTCTGAGAAAAGGACACCAAAGCCTTTCTGCGGCTCATTAGGATCCAATTGTTCCTGATAGATATGTCGCTTTCCTTTTCATTTAAAATGTATCAAGAAGGGCTGCACAATTCATCAACATTTTATCCAAAGTGCAATATTTTAATTGCAGGAAGTGTAATGTTTGTTAAAGGCCACATTTGTGATGCTGAAAGAAGTCCTGACCTACAAACGGTTCTAGAGACTTAATAAGAAAATCCTTCTTTGATCCAGATCCTCTTTAAAAAATCACACAATGATCAAAACTTTTTCCAAATGGTCCCTAGTTACAAATACAATTAGTTGCAAATTGTTTTGTTCCTTTGTTGTTTCATACTCCCCGTTTGTTTCTTCTCTCATTGCCATTAATGTACGGGTGCTTTTCATTATGCAAACGTGTCCTTTCTCCTCCTGTGACCCGTGAATCGTTCCCTCTCTGCCATCGTGGAGGATTTTCAAACACCTTAAATGCACCTCTCAATCCTCAGATTGAGGAGGCTTCTAGAGGAGCTTAGAGCCAGTTTTGTACTACATGTGATTCTTTTAGCAAGTGGCGTGACGTTTAAATGCCAGACCTGCTCTACATGTGGCACAGTTGGTGAAGCAGATAGCTGTAACAACCTTTTTAAAAGCAGATACAAGCACAAACATTCCCATATTTCAAGAACACTGCCATTGTCTGCCAAGGAACCAGTATTTGACCACAGAGTTTTAACTACTGAATCAATTCTGGTATTTAATTGTATGTTTTTTTTACTATGGGAACTTAGAATTTAGAAACTTCTTCAGAGATGTTTTCTGTCCTTTTTAAACACACAATGTTAAAATACTAGGATTTGGGACACTACACTAATACTAGATTCTATGGTGGCAAAATGAGTGAGCCGTCACTGAACCCCATGCTGAGTTTCGTAGCCGTGATGTCTCCAGCGTAGAGTACTACACTCCTACACCCCAAATGACCTCCACCACCTCAACTACCATGCATTTCAGGCTACCCAGTTTTCCATTTGTAGATTATTTTGTTTGTGTGGCTTACATATTGTCACATATAAGAGACTTCTGAGTAATTCCTGAGGTCTACATTCAGTTTCTACGTGATTAAATAATGTATGATTTGACACTAAGATCATTCATAAAGGGCAAGTGAAAGGGATTGTATAGCAACCAATGATATTTCTAAACCATCAGTGTTGGCCATCTTGGATTTTTTTCAATGGCTCACAGGCTTTTTATAAAGAATAGGAGTTTATGTGCCAATGTTAGTACTTGTACCCACTTTTGCAAATATTCCTGTGGTATATTTAATGATCTAGCTAAGGCACCAAGGATTTCTCATTTGGCAGCTTCGGCTCCTTCGTTCTCGCCACTTTTCTTGCCATCTCCAAGACACGTTAGCATAATGAAAAGCCACCTATATATTTCATTTCTTCACCCTCTCACCTTCCCCTCTTTCTCCCGGCCTCCTTCAGCCCATTTTCTGCAAGACACTTTAGCACAGGGGTGTCCAACTACGGCCTGGGGGCCATTTTGAATCGGCCCTCAGCAAATTAAAAAAGTATAATGGAATATGGCCCACAAAGGAAACTTGTGCTTGTCTTATATTGTACTTCTTAAATATATATGTAAACATATATCACACAGTATTATTCATGTGTTAATAAGAACACTTTTCAAATAAATTCAGTCAATTAAAGTTGGAAACATTTTCTAACATATTGATAAGAAAAAAGCCCAATGACTTATTTACAAGCTTGAAATACACCCTTCCTATTTCTCCTTATTGTAATCAATCTGAGGGATGAGCTGCCAACACTCACAAGCATCATTTACCTACATTTGATTGATTTTGCTAACTTATAACTGAACCTATGAGGTAGGGCTGTGCGATTATGGCAAAAACCATAATCACGATTATTTGGGTCAATAATTGATATCACGATTATTAAATACGATTATTCATTGACTTTGAAAAAATCCATTTATTGCACTTTAAAACAAATACAAATAATAATTTGAACAGTATATTTTTAACTGTTGATTACCCTGAACGTATAATTCAACTGAAAAACCAATACAAAAATAAATGATACATTTAAATAAATAATATCAAAATAATAAATACCAATAAACAAGATCAACAAATATTTTGGAGCGCACTTCCACAAGCTACTAAACATATATAAATATGATAAATACAAATAAATGAGACCAAAATTAATTAGATCAAATATGTCACAACCTAGCAAAGCAAAATAATTGTTTTTTTCGATTAAGTTGTTTTTGTAATTGTGGCAGGCCAAAATCGTAATTGTGATTTAAAATACGATTTAATTGCACAGCCCTACTATGAGGCGATGTACCTCTAGTGAGCGGCCCAGCCCTTCGTATATATTTCTGTATGTGGCCCTCGGTGAAAAAAGTTTGGACACCCCTGCTTTAGCATAATGAAAAGCCACCTATGTATTTCATGACTTCCCCCTCTCACCTTCCCCTCTTTCTCCGCGCCTCCTTCATTCAGCCCATCTCGGCGTCAGCAGCTCACATCTTAGGGGACATCTGCAGAGAGCGCCACGAGGCCGTCCTGCCCACGGTCCGGCTGCTGCTCCACCACAACCGCTTTGTGCCTTTCGTCTCTGCGGTGGCAGCGCTGGAGCTGGAAAACACTCAGTGAGTTTACACACGAACACAGATTATTATCATGGTCTACTCTGTAACCTCTCTTAACCCTAAAGTTAAGTTCCCTTTTTTCTCCACAACGTTGGTGTTATTGTTCTATTTTCATGCATCATTTGTACCGGCTGTGATAATGCAACCAAAGTGAAATTTAGAAACAGGAAGTAGTTCTGAAAAACAATAAATGGGAAGTCTGGATGATTCTCACGTTATCTTTATTTATTTTTTAACTTTGATAAACGTGTTACTGGACTAGAATCACTTTACTCAAATTGAAGATTTATTTTTTTGTCATTAATTATCAGAATATTTTTATTCCATCGGGTTTTGTAACAGTTGATTTACTTGAGAATGAAATACATAAAAGATACATACATACAAAAAAAATAGAATACAAATACTGTAATGCAAGAATGTGCAATAAGGTTGAAATAAAAATTCAAATGTATAAAGACAGAATTAAGTATTTGTCAACACAAGAAGTTTTAAAGTGACATGAGAATTTATAGTACAGCGGATAAGCACAACAATTGTGCATTTTATGAGAAAAGCATGACATTTCTAACATAGTTAGTGCATACCATAAGGTTTATTTTCAGATGTGGAGGGAAGTCAGATTTGACCTGTGAGGACCGTGAGAGGTCAAATCCAAGATGGCCGCCAGTCTCTCGGGTCAAATGTTCAAACACGTTTAATTTTGGAACCAAACATTGTAGAAAAACATTTAAGGTGTCATATCCAACTAAATTAGGGATGCCCAATCATTTGATGATACTTTTGAGATCGCCAGAATTCAAGAAAATGCATTTAGGTGAAGATAAAGGTAGAAATTGACCAAAAATAAGCTGTCAATCAGTTGAATGTGTGTGTGTGTGTGTGTGTGTGTGTGTGTGTGTGTGTGTGTGTGTGTGTGTGTGTGGTGTGTGTGTGTGTGTGTGTGTGTGTGTGTGTGTGTGTGTGTGTGTGTGTGTGTGTGTGTGTGTGTGTGTGTGTGTGTGTGTGTGTGTGTGTGGTGTGTGTGTGTGTGTGTGTGTGTGTGTGTGTGTGTGTGTGTGTGTGTGTGTGTGTGTGTGTGTGTGTGTGTGTGTGTGTGTGTGTGTGTGTGTGTGTGTGTGTGTGTGTGTGTGTGTGTGTGTGTGTGTGTGTGTGTGTGTGTGTGTGTGTGTGTGTGTGTGTGTGTGTGTGTGTGTGTGTGTGTGTGTGTGTGTGTGTGTGTGTGTGTGTGTGTGTCCCAGCGCTAGCATTAATACAGAGACTGGAGGAATATGGCTTTACTTGGCACAGTCTGCATGCTGAAGCAAACATTTGTTTTTTGTCTTCAAATACATACTTACATGATTGTGACGAGCATAATATTTGCTCCCCGCCCAACTCTCTAAGTGCTTGAACTCCGTGACAGGAGGATGAAGTATGTATAAATGGATGGAACTATCAACAAAACAACAGCGTTTTATTCCCCAATGTCATATTTAATAGAAAAATGATGATACACCACTTATTGGAGAAAGAAGAATGGGGAACAGAAAGGTTTAGAGAGGGAAACCTTGCAACTTCAGTGCCAGAGAAAAAAGGTACTGCGAGTACACTTGTGGTTATTGTCCTCATGTTGCACATAGAAAATTCAATTAAGATGTTTACCGCATGTGGGCAAAAATCCATCAATCTTTCAATTTTCTAAAACTTGTTATATCCTTAGAGTCATTTAAAATGAGTTTTTTTCTCCATGCCATGGAGTCTAAATGGGTAAACCTTTGTATTTGTAATTGTACAGCCATGCTAGGACAAACAAATCCCCTTTGCCAATGTTCTCTCTGCCACACACACAACATACATAACCCTTTCTTTGCATGACCTCTAAATGTCCATGTGAGCCACTAAAGAACAGAAAAAAAGCTGCGCTACCTTGGCTTTATAGGTGGACAGGCAGGGAATCGAACCCCAACCCTCTATAAGTGGAAAGGGACAGCGGTGAACCTTATAGTTGAGTGCAGCCCTTTGTTAACAGCGAGGGTTAAGAGAGCTGTTTGTGCTCTACATGGAACTGTTTTCCATCTCCCTCTTTGGTTTACATTATTATTATTATTTTTCTATTAAATATGACATTGGGGAATAAAACGCTGTTTTGTTGATAGTTCCATCCATTTATACATACTTCATCCTCCTGTCACGGAGTTCAAGCACTTAGACTTAGAGAGTTGGGCGGGGAACAAATATGATGCTCGTCACAATCATGTTAGTATGTATTTGAAGACAAAAACAAATGTTTTCATCAGCATGCAGACTGTGTCAAGTAAAGCCATATTCCTCCAGTCTCTGTAGTAATGCTAGCGCTGGGTGACTATAAATCCACTGGAATATACCACACACACACATTTTGCAAATTTCAACTGATTGACAGCTTATTTTTGGTCTATTTCTACCTTTATCTTCAACTAAATTCATTTTCTTGAATTCTGGCGATCTCAAAAGTATCACCAAATGATTGGGCATCCCTAATTTAGTTGGATATGACACCTTAAATGTTTTTCTACAATGTTTGGTTCCAAAATTAAGCGCGTTTGAACATTTGACCCGAGAGACTGGTGGCCATCTTGGATTTGACCTCTCACGGTCCTCACGGGTCAAATCTGACTTCCCTCCACATCTGAAAATAAACCTTATGGTATGCTCTAACTATGTTAGAAATGTCATGCTTTTCTCATAAAATGCACAATTGTTATAATATGAGAGCTTATCCGCTGTACTAATAATAGAACATGTTGCTTACTTCCCATTGGAATTAATAAAGCATTTCGATTGTTTACATTTCTTTATATTATCTAAACACAATTGCGTTGCTAGGCAACAGCATGGTTCCATTCTTACTTCCTGTCAGCTGATGTCCTTCACTCATTATTTGGAATGGAACCTTCAGAATTATGACATCATATTTTGCCTTTATGTAGAATTCTGAATTCTAGGAGTTTGCAGGACAGAGCAGCTAGTGTCAGATCATTGCAGAAATAGGTTTTGTTGCAAGCAAACATTAGGGATACTTGCAGTGTTTTTTAGCGAGATAATCTTCACAAGTGAACTCAACTTTTGTGGGATTTTTGTGACGTTAATTCAGTCGAACAATTACATTTAGTTTGCTAAACAACAGGTCATTTCGTCACAGCGGTAGAGATGGAGATGAACAATAGAGATGAGCTGGCAGTCAAGCTCGAGATTCTGCAAAAAGAAAATCAGGAAATGAAGTTGTTGCTGGAGCAGGAGAGGACTTTAAGGGATAAGCTTGAGATTGAAGGCACTAAAAAGAAGGAAGCGATGTTCAAAGCATATACAGAAGAGAAATCATCTTTGCAGTTGAAGCACAATGTGAAAATGAAATTCCAGGAAATTAGGCAGAACGTCTTGCGCGTCAACAATGAGGACCTGAACATGAAATACAGAAACCTCCAGAGGTCACACAAGAAGGTCGAAGCCGAGATGGCTGCCTTGCAAAAGACTAACCAAGAACTCAAACAACAAAAGGAGCGTTGTCTTGAGGAGAAATCTGTAGAGATAGCTGCTCTGCGTGAGAGAAACCAGGAACTCCAACAACAAAAGGATCATTGTGTTGACAAAGCTGTAAAGATAGCTGATTTGCGTGAGAGAAACCAGGAACTCACACAACTGAAGGAGCGTTGTGTTAAGGAGGAGGCAAATATGGCCGCCTTGCAAACAACAAACCAGGTACTCAAACAACAAAAGTTGCGTTGCGTTGAGGAGAAAGATGCAGAGATAGCTGCTTTGCTGAAGGAAAACCAAACACTGAAGCAAGAGAAGGAGCGTTGTGTTGAGGAGAAGGTGGACAAGAAGGAGGATGTGGAGGTGGAACCAGAAGTGAGGCATGATGTTAAAATGAATACCCTGGAAATTGAGCAGAAAGTATTGCGCGGAAACAATGAGGAACTGAACATGAAATATGGAAAGCTCCTCAAGATGCACGAGAAGGACAAAGCAGTGATGGCCACCTTGAGAAAGGCAAACCAGGATCTCAAACAAGAGAAGTTGCGTTGTCTTGAGGTGAAACATGTTGAGATAGTCGTTTTGCATGAGAGAAACCATGAACTGGAACAACAGAAGGAACATTGTGTGGAGGAGAAGGATGCAGAGATAGTCGCTTTGCATGAGAGAAACCATGAACTGGAACAACAGAAGGAACGTTGTGTGGAGGAGAAGGATGCAGAGATAGTCGCTTTGCATGAGAGAAACCACGAACTGGAACAACAGAAGGAACGTTGTGTGGAGGAGAAGGATGCAGAGATAGTTGCTTTGCATGAGAGAAACCAGGAACTGGAACAACAGAAGGAACGTTGTGTGGAGGAGAAGGATGCAGAGATAGTTGCTTTGCATGATAGAAACCAGGAACTGGAACAACAGAAGGAACGTTGTGTGGAGGAGAAGGATGCAGAGATAGTTGCTTTGCATGAGAGAAACCACGAACTGGAACAACAGAAGGAACGTTGTGTGGAGGAGAAGGATGCAGAGATAGTCGCTTTGCATGAGAGAAACCACGAACTGGAACAACAGAAGGAACTTTGTGTGGAGGAGAAGGATGCAGAGATGGTTGCTTTGCATGAGAGAAACCAGGAACTGGAACAACAGAAGGAACGTTGTGTGGAGGAGAAGGATGCAGAGATAGTTGCTTTGCATGAGAGAAACCAGGAACTGGAACAACAGAAGGAACGTTGTGTGGAGGAGAAGGATGCAGAGATAGTTGCTTTGCATGATAGAAACCAGGAACTGGAACAACAGAAGGAACGTTGTGTGGAGGAGAAGGATGCAGAGATAGTTGCTTTGCATGAGAGAAACCACGAACTGGAACAACAGAAGGAACGTTGTGTGGAGGAGAAGGATGCAGAGATAGTCGCTTTGCATGAGAGAAACCACGAACTGGAACAACAGAAGGAACGTTGTGTGGAGGAGAAGGATGCAGAGATAGTTGCTTTGCATGAGAGAAACCAGGAACT